AGGGGTTTTTGCGAGTACAACCCTCACGTTTGGGGTTTTGGAGAGACATCCCAGGGAGGCAAAAAAAGGAAAATTTAGGGGACCCGGACGCATGCCTCCCCCCCCCCCTCTTTCTTCGGATGCAAAGCGTTGGGAGAACCAACCGCGGGAGAAGATTCCTAGCATCAAGTGGCAGCCGTTTTCCTCATTTTTCACCCTTACCACATTCCGGTGGATACGTTTTGGGACCCCCCCCCCCCCCCCCCGAACCCAGCAGCCTTCGCAGGAATTTTCGATTGAGTAAACATGTTGGATAAGGCATGCGATTTGGGGAAAGTTGGGGTTAGGGATGGGGTCTGCGTACCCCCCTCCCTGTTCTATTTCCTCATAAAACTTGGTTTATCGCGAACGCGTTCCCCCGCAACCAACGAACGCCTACGTTGCGACAGGTTTCACCCGCTGTGCGGAGCGGTTCTTACGGCCGAGACGCAGTCGAGCAGCGAGGGCAAGGACTGGAAGGGCCTTGGCGCGGACATGACCATCCAGTGCGACGAGCACAAGCACAAGGCGAGAGCCAAGCGGGGTTGTTGCTGATGCTGTTGTTGTTGTTGTCGTTGTTATTGTTGTTGTTGTTGTTGTTTTCGTCGTTGTGGTTGGTGTTGTTGTGGTTGTTGTCGTCGCTTTTGCCCTCATTGACGGCGGAGGTTCAGCTGTTGATTTTCTCGGGTCTTGTCTTTGCGCTTCGCATCAAACCTCGTTTTTTTACCACCCACGCGCAAGCCCTATTGCGCCCAGTCGCTGCTGGTGTTTCCTGAATGGGTGCGCGTGACCATGTAGTGTCACCAGCAATCACGAGAAGAGACAAGTCGAATGGGCACACAGCTCCATCTTTTTGTGTGTCAAATGTTGCGGGTCCTAGTTTTTTTTTTTTTTTGTCTTCACTTCTAATCCTAGTTAGACTTGGCAAATACGCGCGTGTGTCCTCTCAAACAATATTTTCACCGGGCCTGTCAGACCAACTGCCTCCGCGCCGCTGGTGGTGGCTGTTGGCTGTTGGCAGAGGCTCTAGATCGTTGGACAACACCGTACTTGCCGGCTGTCCGTCGGCGCCCCCGGACATCGTTGCGTTTCGTTGTACGCACATGGCCGTGTGTGCGCGATCGAGTACGTTTTTTCTCAGGCACCGGGGGCTGGGAAACTGCTGACATCTCCTCAAGTTTTTTCCCGACTCCGTCTTTCCTCTTCTTTTTCTTCTTTTTTTCTTCTTCTTCTTTTGTTGTTGTTGTTGTTGTTGTTCTTCTTCTTCTTCCTCTTCTTCTTCCTCTTCTTGGGGGCTCCGCAAAATCGATGGTACAGGCGGACGAGCCCTGCGCAAAGTGCGGTGGAATCGACGGCGAGTTGGTGGGCTGTGCCAGGTGCCCGACCTACTACCACAAGGTTAGTGGTCCGAAGCCACTTCCATCCATCCCGATTCCTGCCGATGTGTGCCACCTACCTCTTAGGCATGGTTGCGCTCTGGTGATTCTTGATTGTTTGCACCGCATCCGGTCTCGCAACAGGGCTAGTTCGTCTTTGATATCCTCTTTACCCACGGCAGCGCTATAATAGGAGCTGGGTCGCTGTAGCCCCCCGCCCGCGCGCGCCCCTGGTTGTTGGAACATGAGATTGTTGTAAGCTGTTTTTTTATCCACTCTTTCGCCTCCGCTTCCAAGATTGCTTCTGCTCCCCTCTTGAATTCTCCCCAACGCTCACCAACGGCGCCTGTTCTATGGTATGGTATATGTGCGTACGTGTTGTTTTTTTTTCCCACAGGACTGTCATGACCCCCCAATCCCCGACGATACGGGCGAGAAATGGTGGTGCGCTACGTGTACGGCGGCTTTGGCCATGGGCGGGGGGGAGTCTTCGGAAGACGACGAGGAGCAGGGTGAGGAGGAAGAGGAGGAGCAGCAGGAGCAGCAACAAGAGGGGGTGCAGGAAGAGGAGGAGGATGATGACCCGGAGCCCCCCACTCCCGGTAGCCCGGAGCATATCGGTTGGATGAAGAGGATGCAGAAGAAGGTACGTCGGCGATGACGTGTGTGGGTTTTTGCTCGCGGGTTTGTGTTTTGCGTTGGGCCTCTTCCGTTCGGTGGATGGTCTTTGACTGTCTTGAGCTATCCGCACGTCCAACATGTAGTGCATTTACACGTCGGCCGGTGTGATTTCTTATGGTGACTTTTGTGCGCGTCCCGAATATTGCTTCCGTAAAACCAAACACAGATTACGTTATACTAGAGTAAGTCAAACACGCAACGCTATAGTTTTATAGCTTCCCTAACACCCAAAACAAGTACTCTAGTGCTCCAAATCGAATATAAAAACACACAAACATATTTTCATTTTGCTGTATGCACCTAGTCTGTGCGGAAATGGATCGGCGCTGGGCAGCAGCTGTGTCCATCGGGAAAAGAGGCGTGTTGTCCCTACTGTAGCGCTATCACGCGGAGCGAGGCCACCGCGCGCTGGAAGGCCGGCGCAAGCCGACAGATGTTGTTTATTATTTTCATTTGTCCCGTCGAATGCCGATGATGCCAGCGACGCCGTTTCGTGTTTATTTTTTTGCTTTTTTCGTTTCCCTCGAGGCTTTTGTTGTTGTACTTCCCTTGCTTTTGACCCTGGGCCAGATGTTCTGACGATGAATGAGCTCACGCGAGAAACCGCCGCAAACACCAAAACGATAAGAGCCTCTCGGCCTCACGAGACTCCAGAAATCAGGTTCTACCCCCAGCTACTTGTACTCGTGGCGAATCGAGAGGTACAAGCAGTAGAAAGAAAACACCGCCACCACCTCCTCGGAAAAACGAACGGTCCACGTGCCGAAGATACGGGCTCTTGTGGTTGCGCGCGTTTGTCTTGTCACACCAACTTCTCGCAAAATATGCCGGTCAGGAGCAGCAGCAGCGGCGGCCCGCCGCCCGCCATGGCTGGCCGGCCTCCCCCCACGTGGGTTAGCTAGGCGTTTCTCATCTGATTTCTTCATGACAGCTTATTCCGCCGCGTTCCGACAGTTACATATGTATGCGCGCGCGCACGCCCTCTTAATATCTAATTATATCCCGAAAAGTCTCGGTGCGATGACCTAACTACGTAGCAACCGCCGCCGCCGCCGCGTCTGTAAATGGCGTTCACAGATGGAGGCAGTGAAATCCGCTTTCATGGGGAAGGGGAAGGCCCCGAAGGCGACCCCCACCGGGGGGAGAGGAGGAGGAGGAAAGGCCGCCAAGGCGAAACCCGCGGCCACCGCCGCAGCGGCGACGAAACCCGGCTACGGCCACGCCGAGCCCGAAGCCCTGCGCTAAAGGGCAAGAAGCGAGCGCCCCCCGCCCCCCCGGCGGCGGCGGCGGCGGCGGCGGCGGCGGTGGAGCAGCACGTCGCCAAGGACAAGAAGAAGAGGAAGAAGGACAGGGGCAAAGGTAAGGCCAGGGCTACGAAGGGGGAAGGGGGAGGCGGCAAGAAGAAGCGGGCGAGGGCGGCGAGGGAGAGGAGGGAGGCGCTGGAGGCCATGTGGTCGTCGGGGGAGGAGGACGGCGGCGGGGGGGGGGGCGACGACGGTTTCGGCGGAACGAGCGACGAGGTGCGTGACGGAAGATACCCCCCCCCCCCAGTACGCCGGAGAAGTATGGGAAGGAAATAAGAAGGTAGTGAAAGAACTCGAGGCGGCGCAGATGAAAGCAGCGAAAATCATCCTAGGATGCTCCAAGCGCACAAGTAATGCAGCAGTCAGGGCAGAATTGGGGATCCAATCCCTACGGTCGGGAAGAGACGTAAGGAAGCTGACATGGCAGTACCGCATGTGCGGGATGGGAGAGGAGAGGTTGCCGAGAATAGTATGGGAGGCGAAGTGGGCAAACAAAAAGAGGGGTAGACAACCCACGGAATGGGTCAAGGTTGTAGAGGACGTATGGAAGGGATTGGACATCGACGAAGATGAAACGCTGGAAACGGAGGGTCTACAGGGGTTCAAGAAGAAGATATCTGTTGCTTGTGCCGAGAGAGAAGAACAGAATCTAAGGAAAGAAACCAAGGATAAGGAGGGTCTAGAAGTGTACGGAATGTTGAAAGAAGGAATAGGGTTCAAGGATTACCTACATGGACCAATGGATGCAGGGACAAAGCTTAAGGTCAAATTCAGGACCGGGGACATAGGCCTTCGCGAACGTCGACGAAGACATAGGACGGTAGACGACGAAGACGACAAGTTCAAATGCGATTGCGGCTTCGAATGCGAAGACAGTGTTCATGTAGTCGCGGAATGTCCGTGGTACGAAAAGGAGAGGGAAGTGTACATGACTGAGCTGGGAAGAATACAAGGGACGTACAGGGAGATGTTTGAGGCATGGAATAGAGAGGAGAGGACGGTAGCGGTACTGGGGAGTAGAAAGTGGTTTGAAAAAGCGGGAAGTGACATCGGTAGGATAGACAGACTAGGAAAGACATTTTTGAGCCACCTTTGGCAAAGTAGGAAGGAACGATTGACCATCGGTGATCGGTCCTGTGGGAACAATGCTCCGTCCTCTCGAGGACGCGTGGTCAATGGTCTAACCGCTAAGGCATGCAAAGCATAAGAGTACGCCCCCCCCCCCCCCCCTGAACAGACCGTTTGTAAAGGCTCGATTTTCCTCCACAGCAGTTGGCGGTGCCGAGAATGGGGGCGTCGGAACCATCTCTCGTTGACATATTTCCGAAAACATGTGTGTGTTTGTGGGATCCTCTTGGTCGTGGAGTGGAGTGGTCGAGCTTTCGAGATCGCTCCACGGTGTGTGATATCGTGTGTGTCACCTATCGTAGGAGGGAAGAGGCTGGTGGTCAGAGGGGTTTTGAGATGAAAAGAGGGGTAGCTTGCTTCCCCGGGGGGGGGGCAGGGGGCGTACTAACGTTGGCATGCCTTAAGCAGCATTGTCCCCACAGGACCGATCACCGCTGGGGGGGAGGGGAGGGGGGGGGAGAATCTGGTGAGGGAGGGAGGGATGTGTGTGTGTGTTTTTCCCGGAACAAAAGTTTCCATGTCATTTGACCTTCAATTACGAAAAGTCGCTATGGGCCGCTTTTGAAGTCCCCCGTCGGACCATACCTGTGTTGGGGCATCAGCAGGGGGTGCTGGTGCTGGTGCTCGTTTCATCGGCCCAGCGTGAGTGTAGATCTGGCGCTTGCGTTGCTTGTGACTACTAGGGTTTGGCAGCCGTCGCCCCGCCACACCACCTCAAGTCTCTTGAGGCCTCCGCAACACCGCCGTCCATTGTCCGAAGAAAATTTGTGTCTGTGCGGTTGTTCTTCCTGAATATTCTGGCACCTGTCTGCGCATGTGTAAGTGTGATGCATCAGCCGGGGTTACCCAGAAGGAGGATCTCACACGAATTTTTCTTGTTTTGCCCCAACATTCCTCCTGCGGTATGTGTTAGAGAATAATGGTATGCATCCAATCAAAGAGAGAGATAATACCACAGTCGAAGGGGATGGGTCGAAGTCTTTTCAGTGCATGGGGACAAAAAGCGGTTGGATACTGGGCTTATTTTTTTTAGTCTGTTCAAGCCTATACACTGAAATTTAAACAGTGATGCCACCCGGTGCTAAGCACCAAAACCTCTGTGTATAGGTAAGGGGATGTTCTAAATACTTGCGTTCGGCGAACGGTTTCGTGGTGCAGGAGGAGGAGGATGATGACGACGATGATGTCAGCGACGGCGGCGGCTACGGACACGGCAACGGTGGCCGACGAAGAAAGAAGGTACGGCCAGCAGTGACGAAGGGACTGCTGTGATTTTGGAGGCGTGAGAGAGTGGGTAGTGCTGCTGGAGGCTTTGGAGGAGGAACCTTGTTTGCTTCTGGGATACCACCTTCTTGGGTACCGAAAAAAAGAAGAAGAAAGAAGGAGACGCCACAGGCAGGAGCGTAGCCGTGGCCGCGTTTTGCGTGTTTGTGCGCCTGCTTACTTGTCGCAGAGACTGCTGCGTTTATTGAGAAGAAGGACACTGTATTGTAGCTTCGGATCAGCCGCACGTTTTCGCTCACGAAATGAATCGCTGGGTCGTCGCGAAGTGCGCCAGTGTTCTTGCTTGTGTGCATCATCATCAACGCGAAACCGATCACCCCTCCCCCTCCCCCCAGTCAATGGCCCAACAACCAAGGTATGTAAAACATAAGTACCCCCCCCCCCCCCCGGCCCTCTTCCCCGCAGTCCCGCACGGAGGCGTTTTCTGCGGTTCCCGTGGGGGCGCAGGCGTACTTCAACAGCCAGGCGGGGGTGGGGACGCTGGCGGTCATCCCCGGGGGAATAGCCAACGCCTCCTCCGTCGCGGGGTGCAAGAGCACGAAGCAGAAGGTCGTGCGGAAACGCGGGTGGCACGCGCGCAACAGGTGAAGAGTATTATAGGGACGAGGAGAGTTTTTGTTGCCGAGCAGGGACAGGAGAAAGTCGTGCAAACAGCGGTTTCCCCCACCAGCGGTAGGTCTTGTGCGCACCCTGTTGAGGCGGGCGTTGGTTCAGTTTTTGGATGGGGGATTGCGCCCGTTGTCGTCCAAAGAAATGCTGCCCTTAAGTCGAAAGGGTTGCTTGCTGTGCTAGCGGGTAAACGCCGAGTGCGCTGTAGTCAAACCATGTCAGCATAAGGGCGCCATATTGACAAACTCATCGAATACAACGACAGCAGTACTCAACAACGACGACAACTAAAAACGAAAAACAGCAACAAAAAATCAACAAATCAACAACAACAACAACAACAACAACGACAACGACAACGACAACGATAACGGCAGGTACACCCGTGTCGCCAAAGAGGGTCGTCTGGTCGAAGAGAGGGACGCGCGAAAGCGAGCACGGGCCGAACAACAACAAAGAGGAGGGGCCGGAGCCGACAGCGGGGACTCCACAGATGAGGAAGAGGAAGAAGAAGGGGTGGGGGGGTGGGGGGGTGGCGGCGGTGTTGGAGCCGGCGTCTACGGGGGGGAAGGGGAGGATGCTTACGCCAAGCTGGAGGAGCTCTTGAAGGCAGCACAGGTCTGTTGTATGCGTCAGAGAGGAATAGAGGGAGGGGGGGGGGGTACTCATGTCAACGCTTGCGGTAGTCGTTAGACCATCCACCTTCGCATCCCTGGACGGAGCGGTGTGCCGGGTTTTCGCCGGCCCAGGCTACGTTTCACGAGGATGAAAAACCATCGTCCTTGCTTTTGCTGAGCCAAACCACATGCATGTGTCATGGGGTTGATTGTTTATCCCTGCTTTCGAGGGGCGACGGGCGGGTGTGGACACTAAGAGGGAAAGCCGAGGCTTAGGCTTGGGTGTTGTTGTTGCATCTACTTACCTGTACGAGGGAAGGTCGACGGTTCTTCCCGCCGAATCGTCCGATGCTCTCGTGTTGTTCGTTCGTCCCGTGTTTTATGTACGGTCACTTGCACTCTCAGCCTCGCCGTGCAATGGGTTTTGCCTCTCGGTGTGATGTGATGAGAGCTCCGATCCGGTCCGGCGGGAGGGGGAGGGGGGTTGCGCAGAATATGTCCTCTGCTGCGTTCTGCGTCGCGTGAATTTATGTACATGTGCACCCACGTTAGAGGTTTGTTTCGATCGCTTTCTCTCAACGAAATGGAGTGCTCTGCAGTGAGTCCGTCAAGACACGTTCGTCAAACATCGCGCGGATTGATGTCTGCGCAGGCTGAGTGGACGTGGAACACGCGCTCATCTCGTGAGACAATCACGTGTTTGTTGTTTTAGTCTGTGATTTGTTTCGTTAGGTGTCGCAAAGCCTCCATACTGTTTTTTTTTGTATCTTTGCGCGTACTGGTCATGACCTTCACGCTCCTTCGAAAACCCGATCGCTGAATTCTCGTGTCTTCTCCCTCACTCGAGAAAAAGTCCCGCTGTTCATGTCCCCCTATTTCCATGACTTGAGGCCAGTGTGGTTTCATTTTTTTCTCGTGTTTTTCTGACAAAAATATTTTTTTCTCTCTTTTTTTGTCAGGACCCCGTGCGCGACATCGTGGACGCCGCTTCTTCGAAAGCCGAGAAGAAGTTCCCCCGCTGGAAGAGCGAGCTAGACTGGGGGTGGAGCCTCATGTTCTACGGGGTCGGCAGCAAGCGGGAGGTTGGTGCATTGCTGCTGTTGGTGGTGATGGTGCCGGTGCTCCTGCCGTTGCTTCTGTTGCTGCTGGCGGTGGTGGTGGTGGTGGTCTAGTGTGCTTTCGTCCACCGCTCAGTCCTTTCTTTTTTTTTTCCGTGTGTACATACACAGGTCGTTGCGTTGTTCGCCACTGCTGTATGGTGGTCTCCGTTTTGGCGTGTGACCGACTGTGTGCTTCACACCGCCCCAACGTCCACGTACCCACAGCTGTTGACCAAGTTCGAAGACTACGTCGACGAGCACAACGTAACCAACGGGGGAGCGGTGGTTGGGTACGACGGGTTCCACGCCAACGCCTCCGTTAGAGACCTCCTCAACAGCCTCTGCAAGGAGGTGCGTGCGGTGTTATAACAACTTGAGCGGCGTGAACAAACCATGCGTTTTTTTTCTTCTCGTTTATTGTAGGCGCGTTTTTGCTGTTTCACATCTGCGACGCGGTTTGTTTAGTATCGGTTTGTCTACCCCTAAAAGGTGCTGGCTGTTTTTTGTGTTGCGGTTCTGGCGGCTCGTTTTCGCTGACGAACGCATGAAAAAAAAGAAAATGATGAAACTTCACGGTTTTTTTTTCACGTGCCTGCCAAGGACGCCCACAGAATAGAGAACGATGAAAAGACGCACGATGATGGCACCTAACAAGACGATCTCCCGAAATGGAATCATGATAAGTCCCATATCTTTTCCTCTGCCGCTTAGAAGTTAGAACCTGCGGAAACCGGTTCCCGATTCGATACACATCGATCGAATCGAAGCGTCCGCTTCTCGATGCACATGCCCCATGGTCAGGTCAACACTGACCCCCCCCCCCCCCTTCCCTTTTTTTTTTTAACAATTACCCCCTACAATAAAACAACACCAACAACAACACCCCCCCCACCCGTCAACGTCACCGCTAACGCTAAAGCTGCTGGGCGCCGAGACCCCGCCGGAATACTCGAGCGGGAGCCTCCTCCTCCACGCACAGGGGTTCATAAAGGCGTTCGAACTCCAGCGGTTGCCCTCCTATTCCTCCAACCGCACCGCCGCCGCCGGCAGCGGGGGCGGCGGCAGCGGGGGCAGCGGGGGCAGCGGTCGTCGTCCTGGTAAAGCGGTCGCCGCGGCGGCGGCGGCGGCGGGGGGAGGCGGGTCGGGGACGGTTGTGGACGGGGTGGACTACTCGATGGTAGAGCAGAAGAGGACGGTGGCGCGGCGGCTCTTCATCTTCCTTCACAGCATCGACGGAGAAAAGGTAGGTATTTTTTAGTGTTCCTTGGGGGGGGGGGGGTATGTAGTTGTAAGGAGGGGAGATGGAGCGGGTTGCTTTGGGTCGATCCTCAGGGGACGAAGCTTGGTCGGGGGCGATGCTTCTTTCACAGCGCGACCGACGAAGGGGAGTTTGTTCACCGCTTGCTACTTTGCCTCAGGGGAAGGTGGCATTTACAACGTACTCGTGGCCGAATTTCCATTGGGTACCTTCGCACGCCTTTTCGTTTGCGTTCTGTGTTTCATGCTGATTTTTCTTCGCTTTTTTTGTTGGTGTGCAGCACCACTCCCAGAAAGAACCCTCAACAATGTCTGTGGTGTGTGACCGCGTTTGTCGGATTCTGAAAGGAGCTCGAGATACCTTTGGTTAAGCACGATAGGCGACGCTCCCGGTGGTGGGGAAACGGGCAGAGTAAGTTAAGGACATGGCAGGAGTCGCATCTCCTCTTTTTTTTTATTGCCGAGTCTCTCCTTCTTCGCGTATATTCGACACGGTGGTTGTTGTCGCCCTATCTCGTGTCTCCCTTTTTTTTTCATCCCTGGATCTCTCATTGCTGGGTAATTGTCATCGTCATCGTTGTTGATGTTGTTGTTGTTGTTGTCGCCTTATCTCCGTCCCCCTTGCTTGCCCAACCGTCCGTGCGTCCGGCCGGCCGGCCGCCCCCGCAGCTGAGGAACGAGGACTCGCAGGAGGCCCTGGCCGAGCTGTCGGCCTCTAGGTACGTGCACCTCGTCGCCTCGATGGACCACGTCAACGCCCCCCTGATGTGGGACGTCGGGCTGTCCGAGAAGTTCAACTGGCTCTTCCACAAGACGCACACGTACAAGCCCTACGTCGAGGAGGTGAGCGAGTGAGGCGGTGGGAGGGGCAGGGGCTCGCGCGCGCCAGGGTGCGGGCGCACTGAATAAAACCACCATTTTGGTGTTATGTTGGCGGGTGTAGATATGTTGCTATTGGTGGTGATGGTGGTGGTGTTCTGCTGTCTCCGCGTGCGTGACAAGATTCCGCTGAATTTTGGGGAGTTTTTCGTAGGCGCGGGGGGGGGGGGCACCCCGAAAAAAGGAACGCTTGATCTCCCCGAACCCCCAACTCCTACAACCCTCGCGTGGTGCCTATCCACCACCACCGCGCCACCTCTCACCAAAGTCAGATACTTCCTGGCCCCGTATACGGTAGGTTGCGTAAGATAGCACCCCCCCCCACCCTGGACCGATTTTCAAAGCTCGATTGCTAAATATTGCAAGAACGGCGACGGTGCCGAAAATGGCGGCGTTCGAACCATGTCATCGAGGGCTTTTCGGCAGCGTGTTTTTTTTTTACATCTGTGCACCCTCTTCGTCGTGGAGAGTTGGAGCTTTGAAAATCGGTCCCCAAGGTGTGCGTGGTGTCTCACGTCATGTCACCTAACGGTAGCTCGAACCGCGTCCCACCACGCTTCCCACTCCACCACACGGCCCTGCCTAACCCACCACTATCGTAAACCAGAGTCGTCACCGCTAACCGATTTTTTGCCCGCCATAAACCCTCACGTGAGGGAGATGAACATCATCCCGGTCGTCTCGCCGCCCCTTGACCAGCACGGCAAGCCAAACTGCGGTTGACGCGCTTTTGCCCGCGCCCCCACACCCTGCGACCCCATCGCCACAGGTCCGCAGCCGACGCAACTGGTGCACGATCGAAGGCGAGGTGCAGGCGCTGGAGCGGCTGTCGCAGGTGATGAAGGCCCTCACCCCGAGGCACGTGGACGTGGTGGTGTGCGTGGCGAAGAAGCTCAAGGACAACCCGGGGTTGCAAGGTGCGACGGAGGGAGGGAGGGAGGGAGGGCTCTCGCTCGCGCGTGTGGGTGTGCTATTGTGTGCGCTCTTGTATTTTTGCTTGGTTTTAAGGGGGTGCGTGAGCGCGAAAGCTATTTGTGACACGAGAGATGTTTTTTTCTCCCGAGGGAGGAAGAGGCGAAAGACCTCGCTCGAGCGTGTGGTAGTCTTTGCGCACTCTTACACTCAGCACGAGAAGAGATTCGAATGTTTTTTGCGAGTGCGCGAGTGCGCACGCAAACTGTTGGTGACGCGAGAGACTTTTTTTTTGTCTCTTGCAGTTTTTAGTGAGGAGGCAGAGCGTGCTCTCGTGTTGTCCGCGAGAGGGTACGAGGCGGTCGTATCTGCTAAGGCAACCGCGTAGGGCGGTGTGTTTGTTTGGATTGGAGCGTGCTTCGTGTGCGTGACAAGAAGCTCTCCCACTCACCATCACCCTCTCTCTCTCTCTCTCTCTCGCGCGCGCCCCCGCACCCTTCTGCTACGGATGCCAGGCAAGTGCAACTACAGGGACGTCTTGTCCAAGCTCAAGAGCGACCTCTCAGCCGACACGAGCCAGGTTCTGGACGGTCTCCTCGTCGAGCTTAAGGTGGGGTGTGTTACAGGTCGCTGCGGGGTCCGTTTGGAATTGTATCACCCACGAGGAGTTTGTGTTGTTGTTGGTGTGATAGCGGGCTAAATAGTGCTGGGCGTAGTCTTGATGGTATCGTTGTAAATTTAACAGGTTTGCCGAAGGTTGCCGTTGCCACGGACGTCGTTGATGCTGCTGCTGTTTCCGCTCTCTCTACGCTGTTGCTGCTAATGTTGTCTAGTTATTGAAACGTATTTTGACGGTTGGGTGTCGATGATTGTAGTCCCGATGCGCCTGCTCTCCACCATGACCTCCTTGCCGCATGTACTGTGGCGCTGGTTTTATTCCACGCCATTCCGTTCTTTTCCGCGCGGAACTGTTCACCACCCACACAGGACCACGACGTGATCGTGGAAGAGAAGACCGGGAATTCCAGGTTCCTTTCCATTTCCGGAGGGCCTGAGGTCGTTGACTTCCTCGCGGCGTACAAGCGTTAGACGGAAAAGGCGAACCTAGCGATCGTGTGCCTCAAGAACCCCATGCGGCACGGGATGGAGACGGGGGGCATCAGCGCTGTTAATATCGACGAGGCTTCTAACGCCGCCTTTTGTGTTTAAGAGGATGCGCCCCCGCCTCCCTGGAGAAGTCGGCGTGTCCTGCCTCCGACCAAACCATCGTACGTGCTTTTGGAGCCGCTACAAGGCGCCAGCTCTTTAGTTTATTTTCAAGAGGTATTGTTCTCAGTTTCGACGGAAAACGAGGAGAGAGATATTGAGACATGTGTTTGTCGAGATGGTGCTCGTTTTCCGTACTTTTTGTTTTTTTGTTACACGGCGCCGGGCACCACCAGCTCCACCACTCCTTTCGGGCGAGGGCACACCTTGCCTCTTTTCGGCAGCTTTTGCCGCCGATAACTATCTCTCTTTTGCTCGGTCCCTGCGGCGGGCAACCAACAACCCTTTTTTTTTGTAGTATTTCGCGTTTGTCCTTGTCAGCGGGAGACGCTGGGCGTACGGCCATCTGTTGTCCGGTGTGTTGGTAACACCCTATGGTCTTGTCTGGTCGTGGCGTGCGGGCGGGTGCTCAGGCTGGCTTGGAGGTAGCCTTGATGTCACCTTTGTATCCTATGGAGGTTCATATTTGGTCGAGTAGATCATGCGTGCGATTGTACAACGAGCGCGTAGTTTACCATGTTTGGAGGTGTCGATCCATTCCCCCACTATGTAGCAAGTGCGGGGGCCGGAGTGCAAGTGTAGCAAACATCCTCAAGTGTAGCAAACATGGCATGTGTGCAACAGCAGTATATAGTAAATTGCCGTAGCCAGACAAAAAAAGTACCATATATATATGGTGATTGGGAGGGTACGGTGGGGGGAGGCCCTCGACTCTCTTCCCGTGCCCGTGCCGTGCTAACCATGTTTTGGTGATGACAAACTGACGTTGTAGCGGCATCAATCGGCAATGTCCCCGAGCTCGCTTTGAAAGCGTCGAGTCTAGTGTCGTTGCGCACGGCGCGGTGGTCACGGGCGTGTTCCTCAGATCGACACTACGTGCAGGGGACCCACAGTTGTATTCTTGTGTTCATTTCCAAGAGCGACCTTTCGCGACACACACTATTGTACACTGCCATGAAGAACAAACCTGAGGGAGTCGCGCGGTTTGACTCTGTCCACAAGCACACGTGTTTGCATTGATTGCCCCATGTACCAGCAGGGGATGAAGGCGAGGCCAACACCGCACGAAAAAGCCGCCAAGACGACAAACACCGTACAAACGCACGTTGGTGGCTTACCTACCGTGATACCTTCGTTCTTTGCACCGCTATATAGAGGCGAGTTTCTGATTTAACCTCGCGGCCTCGGCACGGCAAATGTCCCCCCCACACCCAAGCGGCCCTCCCTCGCTCGAGTCAGACGTTGCCCTCGTCACTTTCACCTCTACCTACAGTACAAATGAGTACGCGCTTCTCTCTCATACGAGGGCTTCCTCGTTCTTCCCATATACAAAGACGCAGGTTCACATTGCCCATCGATTCTACAACTATGGTCCCCGCCTCCGTTTAAGGTGGGGGGCTACATGGGCTTCTTGGAGCGCGACCCATGGTCAAAGCTCCCTCGGTAGGGAGGAGGTAATGCCCAAGGGTGGGGTGTGAACGACCGTCCCTAGGCGAACAAGCAAGACAACCTCTTCCCGTGCTTTTTATCATCACTCCTACCCACGACGCACCTGTCTCTCTCTCTCTCTCTCCGTCAAAGAGCGTCATCAAAAAAGACAAAATCCCTTTTGCCGTACTTTTATAACCACCACTCCTTGTCAGTTGGACCAGTACGGATACTGCAAGGTACTGAGCGGAGTTTGGAACGGATTCCAACATGAAGACAACAACAACAACAACAACAACAACGGCAAACCCACGTCGCACCCCTCTCTCTCCAACTACGTGCTCGTCGGCACTCGAACAGTCCCTTAAGTCCCGCCGAAGCTGAGCCCTTCGCATGCTTCTTTCCCCCACGACTGGGTCCCCTCGGCTTCTTTCTCCCTGGCGAGACTCCCGGCTTGGGGTCTTCCATTCCGATGCTTCGAGGGGGCTCCGCAGCAACACACTTCAAACGCTTTTCGTACGTGCATGTACCCGCCTCGTTTTACGGCCCGGTTTTCTTTTTCTTCTTGGCGGCGTATTTTTTCCCCTTGTTGGGGCCTGCAGCAGACACACAGAAACGACAAGAGAGAGAAAAAAAAAGTGGGGTGGAAGGAGCAGAGGTATTAATTGGCGTGTTTGCATGCGTAACGGCCGCTGGTGCGTGGAACTAGCGTCGCATGCGTTGCATGTAGTGCTGCAAAAGAAAGAAAGTAGACGACCCGACAAGTGGACGGAACGGGGCACTGCTTGCTTTGTTGCATAAATATGGACTAGTCTTCTCTTCCACGGACAAGACTACATACCACCCGTTGCAAAAAACTTGAAACGTCATTCCTGTCGCCGCTGCTACACAAGCCTCTCTCCAAGCTTGACGCCGTTTGCTCTGCGCCCGTGTTGCAACACAAACGTCCCAACCGATCCGATCGTTCAAGACGTGCAAATCATGTCGTCACAAAGGGGCTCCGGGCAAAACACACGCACATACCCCATCCGAGCTAACACGGGTGGAAAGGGTGATATTGTACGCCTGCATGGCAACGACACACTCGCTGGCGACTTTCTACCTCGGGGGTCTTTCAGCCGCCCCTCTTGTTTCCCCTGTTCGCGTCTTGGGAGTAAATAAAAGCAAATGACAATGCTTGGTTCTGTGCGGTTGTCGGAACAGCTGGAGCGACAGACGCAGCGTGGGATCGGTCCACTCCGCAGAAAGACACAAAACAGTAGGGGCCACGTGGTGGTGACCCTCATGTCCAGTGGCTCGCGTGTCCAATACCTTGTCAAGTACTTGCACAATGGATCAACCGCCCCTTGTCAACAGGCACACAGCAGTGATCGCGCACGTGGCGTTGGCGTTACACCCAACCACGTGGGAAACCGTTTCTACGACCCTATCATCCTCTCGCGCTTTGTGCCACCCGGCCGTCATCGTCAGCATCATCGCAAAACGACCACGACTACTACAACCTCGACGCCAAAGGCGGCGGCGGATAACTCACCGGGAGCTTTCCTCTTTCCCTTGTTGCCGCCGCCGCCGCCGCCGCCGCCGCCGCCGCCGGATGAGGGGCCATTCCCGCTCCCGTTCCCTGCTCCCTCCTTCCTGGGTCTCTTCCTGTTCTTCTTCTTCGTTGTCAAGACGTAGGGACAGAGGACGCTGGGTGACGGCACGCCCCCCCCCCCGTCCCCGCCTGCACCACCACCGCTGCCGCCGCCGCCGCCGCCGCCGCCGCCACCGCTCCCGCCCGCGCCCCCGCCTCCGCCGTGCTTCTTCATGAGCTTCTCCGCCTTTTCCTTGAGAGTCTTCTTGGTTGTGTCCGCACCCCCGCCCTGCTAGATTTTATTGATTTTTTTTTTTTTTTTGGGGGGGTGGTATTGCTGCACCGGCAAAAAAGAGGAAGAGGAAGAAGACGCTGCTGTATGGACGACCGACCGCAAAATATGATTAGATTAAAATGACACCCTTTTTGTGTACCCCAACCCAGACAAATTCTGGCGTTTCATATTATTATCCAGCGGCTTGTGAGGCCTCTTCCTGGTGAACGGGGGCTGGCAAAATGCCTCGTTTGCATCGAAATCATAGTTTTCGTGAGCCAGGGGGGGGGGTGACGGGGCCTCATAGAACCCCCAATGGACAACGGACGGTGGCGAGTTCAATGTTGCCAT